AAGATAATAAATAATGATCTTATGCTTTAAAATTATATATTATTTATTAACCAAGACTTTAAAAAAAAAAGTTTAAATAACTAATACCTAGTGACTAGTCATTATTAATTTTATAAAACTAAAAATAAAATGTATCTTTAATAATTAAAAAAAATGTTTTGTTGATGACTGTGATATTAGCGGCGAATCCAAGTTTACAATCTATGATTATTATGTATTAGACGAGTGACGACTGTCGTCAGTTGCTAGTAAATGTATGTTTTCCTACAGGCTACAATAATTTGTCGTTTCATATACATAATTAAAATTCTTTAACTGCTATTGATCATATTATGCTTGGTATTTTACACTTTTGCTAGGGGCTTAAAACTTAAAACTATGACCAGATTCAAAATTTAAAAAAAACCATTTATAAGCATTCAAGATGATGCACATCTCTTTAAAAAATCTTCAAAGAAGTTTTTTTATTTTTTTTTCTAATCAAAACAACATAATTTTATAAAATTTTGAAAATCGCGCAGTTATTTTTTGTTATTCCAACACATATTCCTAGATATAAAAAGAATATTCTCACTTATAAGTCATAACTATAGTCAATGAACTAAATATAACGTAACCGTTTCTTGTTGGAAAACAGTAAGGATGTTATGATGGTTTAATTAAGTTTTAAACAATTTAGGTGTAGGTACTGATTTTTTTTAAGTATTTTAAAGAAGAAAAAAATAATTATGTTTTAAAAGAAATATTTAGTGTTCTGTTTTAATAAGTATGATTTGAGTTTTGAATAATGCTAAAAAGTTTCCAATGTGGTTTAGTTTTAAAAGATCAAAAATTAAGTTTGTTTATTTGTTTAGTTTCGGTTGGTTTATATATATATATATATATTTTTTGTTGCTTATAACATTGATTAAATATAAAGTATATGCCAATAGATATGTTAAAGTAGTTAGACTTTATATTATGCTGACATTCTACCTGTGTTTTAATCACCAAACTGAATGTAATAACTATTAGGGCAAATGCATAGATGTTTTGTATATAAACAATAATTTTTGTGTACCTCTAAAATAACTTTTAAAAATGTCCTTTTTTTTAAAACACATCTGGTCACCCTAATTATGTAGATGTATATTAAGATTAACTTTAAATATTAAATATTTTTTACCCACGAAGAATATAATTTTTTAAAGATCTGTCTAATTTGTAAAAAAATTACTGTCCTGAAAAATTCAGTTCATAAAAACATTTTATGATTATATTTTATATTACGTAGTTAAATCGTAAATATGTACATATAAAACGTTATATATTTATAACGTAATATACGTATTATAATGTGTAGGTTAGGTTAGGTTAGGTGATTTAACACTAAATAATAAATAAATAAATGTATTAGGTAAATTAGGTTACTCGTATATACTTACTAAATTGTTGCTTATTATTAACACAATTATACTGAACTACGTATAAATCATAATAGCGGGTCTCATATGATCATATGTATACAGGCAGTTATACCACTCATACTTAATAATTGTTTCCTGTTTCGCCCAATCTAAAATCTCAGGATATATATATGTAATATGTATACATAATACAATAGATAGTATAATTGTGTGACTAAGCGCTAGGAAATGGGATTAATGTATATAATATAATAGTATTCTATTAACACGTCTTATGTAATTAAATTTTAGCTTTTATATAGAGTATTATAGATACTATGGCTAATTTTTAAACTGATTTTAGATCTAGATGTATCAACTTCATTGTACTAGTACTATAATATATTTAAATAAGTAGTTAACGTATTAATCATGGGTATATGATTGTTTGTTATTAGGTATATGTATCGTTTGATTTTTTTATTTTTAATAATATTTGACTTAATACAATAAACTAATGTACCTAATGTTATAATGGCTAAATACGTATACACATACAATTGTATACGTATTTAATAACGGTATACGAACAAAAATTTCATCACCAATTTTGAATAGATATAGGTAGGTAACGACATCAATTTTAGAATACCTTATTGATTATTATTTAATTTGGTAGGAGATATAGGATAACATTGAATTAAGTCCCAAATATTGAATTGAGTTTCGCAAATACTTTTGAGTTATCGGAGTTGAGTCCGGACCAATATTCTTAGGTTATCCGAGTTGAGTCCATTTTTTTAAATGTAATAATAAGTATAAAGAGTCAATTAATTAAAAAATATTAAAATAATGATAAATGAAGTAATTTTTTACTAAAAGAATAATTTTTTATCGGCAGTTGAAGAAAAATACTAAAATGATTGAAAATTTGTCATACCTATAAATATTTCAAAAAGAGTTAAAATTTTATTTTAATATAGGTATTGAAAATAATAATTTAGAAATTTCAAGTACATACTTATCTTATTATTTTTGGAAATATAACAAAATATTAAAAATGTTTTGAGGAGAAATAGTTATTTTACGGGTGAATATCTAAACATACACTATATTTTTCACTCGTAATAATTTGAAAATTAAGTAAATATTAATTAATTGTGTATTCACGTAGTGTTTGGCACGACTGGTTGATTTTGAACAAGTATATACCACCGAGCCATTGACGAATATCCTTTATCGTTACGTATTTGATGTAATATGATGTGAAAAGTTCAAAGTCTTCACCAGCTATAGAGGTAGGTATGACATTTTATCTATACGGACTCAATTCAAAGATATTAAGATAATAAGCTAGACTCAATTTAATATCACCGGAGATATGTACCCATAATAGTAAAACATTTTTTACCAATAATTTTTAAATATTATTTTATTATACAGGTACATATACTTGCAATGATATATAATATATATATATTGTTTTAAGACATAATAAAAATTTAAAAAACTGAAATTTAATTAGTATAATTGTGAGCACTTGATTGAACATAATACGAGGAATGGAGAAGCAGACCTTGAATTTAGGTTTGATGTTTACAGTTGTTATAAATAAATCATAGATTTTGTACAACTACTTAATGTTTCATGATAACTTTTTTTTATTTATAATTTATACTTTGAGTACATAGAAAGTTGGAAAAATTAAATACTATTATTATGACTTTAATAAGTTTGTTTGGGTGTATCAGTGGTGATATCCTAGAAAAGGGATGAAAACTATACTGGCTAAACCAATGGAAACTAAATAATGCATATCAATGGTTGAGGGGGGGGATATCCCCAAACATTTTTAGACATATTTTGGAATGTATATTGTGGTTGTCGTTGATCTCTTTTAGTCAAATGTTGGTACTTATATACTGGGGCCCAATAAACCAACCAAACTTGTTTTGAAACAACAACAAAACGTTATGAAAACACATTTATTATTCATCATGTAATCTATTGATTAAATTAGTATATTATTATTATCTATTTACTTTCCTCCCACGAACGGCTGATTTTAAACTAGTGTGATCCATATGATGGTCGCGTTCAAAATGTATGTCGGTGTGTAGTACCCACTCGGGCAAATTCCAAAGAAAGTACATAAGAAACAGCGAGGCCATAGGTGTGAGCGTTATAAATCCTACTATTTTTTGATTCCAATAATCATGTAGTTGAATAATTCATAATTGTTATGAAATCGTTCACAAACCCAAAATATGTTATGACGTTTCGGTTAAATTGTATCAAAACTAAAATTAATTTATAAAATAAGTATAATATGGTGTTCAATATTTGAAATTGTTAAATCATTAATATTTACTTTTATTCCGGATTAATTTTTACGTAGGTACCTAGGAATCTATATCTATTAACGACTGATTGTCGATCATATTTTTGTTTGTTAACGAAAACGAATGTGTTTATTAAAATTAATTAAAGTGAAACTTTCAATTAATATTACATTTGAATTAATACGTAGGTATTATATTAATGTAGAAATAGGTGGCAGCTGTTTAAAAAATTGCCTTTTTAGGATTGTTCAAAATATAATAATCACACCAATTTTCAATTATTATTCAATAACTTTGATAAATATTTTAATATTTTATGCTTGTAGTGATATTATATGAATTATTTCATATTTATGCTATTATGTAGTACAATATATGATTCAATATTGCAATAATAGACAATAATTTATTATTTATTTTTTACGATTCACATTTATATAGAATGGGTTAAACCAAACAATCAAATAAAATACATTTATACAATCTAACTAAGTATAAAATATTTATACTTAAATAAAATATTTTAGATTTCAAACATTTTGTTTTTTATTTAATTAATTAACATTTTATATAAAATAATACGTATATTAGTATTAAGCTGAATATGTATACATTCATAACTGTATATTCAAAATAATTAATACTTATTTGAATTTTTAGAAAGAAATTTAAACCACATATTGTATTACTTTAAATTGAGTAATATACTCGTATTATATTTGTCATCAATAATGACTTATCATCTATTATATATTTGTACACAATAATATAAAACTGTTTTTAACGCCTCAAAATGTTGAGGATCAAAGCGTTTATGTTGCCTATATAAAAACCCGTTTCTAAGTATCATCACTTATTTTAATTATTATACTGAACATGAATAATATAATATGGAATATTTACTCTCTCTCGTATAATCTGATTATTAATTATTTCATGTTGGTAAATATTATTCTGTTCTAATAGGTTTATATTTTATTGATTTTGATGTAATTCAAACTGTTTTATATAATATAACACTATATTAGTGCGACCTCTATTGAATAAAATTGTAATATTATATGATATAATATGTTAGGTATGTGTATTTACTTTGTTTGATGCAACTTACGTGCGTGTAAAATATGTTGCTTGTAACAAGCTTCATGTTACGGCGTTTTTTTTTTATACGAAAAGAACAAATAAATATAAACAATACATGTTGATAACATAACGTTGTTATATATTATTAAATTTAAAAAAAAAAATCAAATAACATATTAAGTAAAAAAATATATAAACTAAAAAGAATTATTTACAATTGGTTGGCGTAAAAATACATTGACTTGAGAGGTATACTAAAGAAAGATTTATGGTGGATATGGTGAATTATAAATCATTTTTTATGGTAACCATAGCTATCACCGCCACCACCATAATTATTATGTTGATCGTCGTATCCACCGCCATATTCGTGTTGATCGTGGTGTTCATGATGGTCATGATGTTCTTCTACCCAAACCTTTTCCCACACAGGCTTGTAGACTTTCTTCCAAGTGGGTACTTGAATCTCTTTCCAAGCTGGAACTTTGTTTTCTTTCCATTCGGTCTTGTACTCAAGTTTTTTCTCAGTTACCCATTCTTCTTTTTTCTCTGTTCTCCAGATTTGTACTTTTTCTTCTTTCCATTCTTGTTTCTTTTCAGTTACCCATTCCTGTTTCTTTTCAGTCCTCCATATTTGTACTTTCTCTTCTTTCCATACTTGTTTTTTCTCTGTTACCCATTCTTGTTTTTTTTCAGTTTTCCATACCTTATTCCAAATTGGTTTCCATATGAGTTTTTTTTTCCACAAATCATGTGCAACATATTCCCATCCATTTTGATCTTTGCCTAATTGTTTAGATCCGGGAACGTATTCCTTAACCCATTCCGGTACATAGGTTTTTTTCCAGTCAGGTACCTGAATTTCTTTCCACACAGGTACTTGTACTTCCTTCCATGCGGGCACTTGGATTATTTTCCAATCAGGTACTTTAATTTCTTTCCACACTGGCACTTTAATTTCTTTCCAAACAGGAGTTTGGATAATTTTCCAATCTGGTACTTTTATTTCTTTCCAGACGGGAACTTTAATCTCTTTCCATATGGGAACTTTAATTTGCTCCCAAGTTTTTTTCCATACTTCTTGTTTGACAGTTTTCCATTCTTGTTTCCATTCCTCTTTCCAAGTTAATTTCTTTTTCCAAGAGCCTTGTGGTTCTTCATGATGATGAGAATCATAACCAACTACATCTGATCCATAACCACCGTCAGCGCTGAAATAGAAATAATTTAAAATGTTTAAAATTTATTTAATTTAAGTATACATTATTTCCTTAGTTTTAAACGAATAATAATTAGGAGATATTTATTTATATACCTAAGAAAAACTACATTAATTTAATTATAGGATTTTTATAAGATGTGAGATATTTATTGATGTAGGTAATTTTCTTTTCATAGTTTTCTTTAAAACATGAGATTTGTAAAATTTTAATAAATATTTAACATAGTCATTAAAATATCACAGCTTTATATAATTTTAAATTTTAACATCGCAAGAGATATTAACAACAATGTAAATATGTATATGTAGTATTGTAATATTATAAAAAAAACATGGCTGTTTATGAGACAATTTTTAATGTTTCAATAGTATTTTTTTTATTTAATATTTACTTACTGCTTCTTTTGGCGCTGAATTGGCTGTAATGACTTTTCTGGTACTGGTGTCGGTAAACCAACTACAAGCGATATTAATGCAATCACCACTATCAGTGATTTCATTAGAAACTGAAAAATGAAATATTTAATAGTTTAAAGGTACATTATTTTATGACGTGTATATTTAATGTAATATTATTATCAATGAATTATAGGCTAGTTTACAGTTTGTATACATCAAAATATATTTTGTAAGGTAATTGCGTTATGTAAGTACATTTATTATTACGTTATAATAAAAAGCACGATAGCAATTTTTAATGTCAGATTTTAATTTTAATATTTTATACTATTATTTATTATTTATATTTCTGTTAGAATCTATTTATTTATTTATTTTAACAATCTTAGACTATTCTATTATACATTTATTAAACTAGATATTTCAACATTGATAAATGTATACAATGCACTTTTTTGGATTACTCAAGTATAACAATAATAAATCTTATTACAATTTAATAAACGTTCGTTTACTTATATAAAATATGTATTTATTCTATACTGTTTAAAATCGATGAAATAATATTAACAATAGATATTTATTGTTTATACAAAGAATACTTAAAATTAAAAAAGAAAAAGAAAAAAGAATATTTAAAATTAAATAATAAATATGTATTCTTAGTTATGCTATGATAGGTTCCTAAGTAATGTATGTAAGGAATTAATGATAACAGTTCTAATGCAATTGGTCCGAACACAATAACAGAATAAATGTTAGGTACTTATGGAGTGTTATTAATTCAAAGTAGACTAACTATTTTTGATAAAATTACTATTGAAATATAAATTTCTTATCTTCTTTCTTTTATATAACAAGATATTCTTAAAGAAATAAATGATATAATACAATTAAAGGCACTATATTTATTTGATATTAAAATTCACTCGGTATAATATCAATAAAAAAAAAAATCAATCTATCAAAATAAAGAGTTTTATAATTTAATATTTATTGATAATGAAGAAAGCAGTATAATTAACCATCTAATCTAGGACTAGGATTTTAAAGCATATGCTTCTATTTTTTTCTATGAGATAGAAAAATAATTTTTATACATAAATTATTCTCATATTATTCTGGTTTTAAATAAATTAATTTTTTTATTATTTTTTTTTTTTTTTTATTGTAAATATTTTTTTTGCAATTATTTTAGTTTTGATAATTTTATTTTATTTATTGGCCTATAATAATAAAAAACTAGGACCACGATGTTATTATTGTTATCGTTTATTAGTAAAACGATTTTCATAGTTAAAAATATATCATAATATATTAGTATACATATGCTTATTATAAATTATCGTTGTTTAACATGTACCTATTTTACCTATATGAAAAAAAAAATGATTTTAAAATGAAATATACGTTTCAACTAAAACCTAACTTAAGTGATTTAATAAAATGATGAATAGACATGATTATTGATTAGTAATTATTATTAAAGTGAGCATTATATAGCTTTGGCCTATAGACTATGGTGGTCAAATTGTAGTTTGTAATTTGTTAAGACCGTATTTTAAATTGTGTATAGTGGGTGTCATTTGTCAAAGACCGTCTTTGAGATATTTATCATTTATTACAAATAGTTTTGAATGTCTTAGAATAATTAAAATCCAGTTTATATAATAAGGAGTTTATTAAAGTATAAACAATTATTATTTGCACAAAATTTCTTTAGTTTTTAAATTAGGTATATTATTTTATAATAATAATATATTATTTTACATTAATTTAATACAAAATTATTATTATGTAATCATTAATTATTTTATATACATTTTAAAAACGTATTATTTGATAATAAAATAATAATAATAATATCAAGTTAGTATGACATAATTTATTTTTTGTATAAGACATATTAATTTCAATAATCTCTAATAACTGAACATTAAAAAAAATCTGTATATTTTTATCATTGGTTTAGTTATATTATTTTCTAAATAGGTTTCATATTTTGATGGAAGGATTAATATACATGTAACCGTTTAGATTATAAATAACACATTCAATAAAATATAAAAAAAAAATTTTGGAAAAAAGTGAGTAGGCCTAGGCCGTTACATAAGCCACTAGTTTTAATAATCTAATTTAATAAACATACAAACACAAAAATTAGAAGTTATAATTTGATACACTAAAAAATAAATATTAAAAAAAAAATTTCATAACAATAAAAATCTCTTGGGAATCGTGTATTCATAATGATATTACATAAATTATAAAATAACAAAACGTTTGTTCTGAATTATGAGTAAGTAAAATATGTTTGTATATGATGTGTATATAATCATGTTGTTATGTCACAAATATAAAGTATTTCTATTTAAAAAAAAATAAATATAAATTTGATTAGATAAATTATACTAAAATAATATTTAATGTGAAGAGTTTGGATATATTTGATATTACTTAAAGATTTACTAGTTTTGATTAACTGCAGGCCGATGAAATAAATTTAATATTAAACAATGTGTATAAATTATTTGATAAAATAGTGCAAATGTATCATTATTTATGTGCAAACCTTAAAAATAGAATATTTAAAACACAAACACCCTGAATATTTTTATTTATTTTTCTGTTCTGACATAAAATGTAATGAAATAACTATATTAATTAATATTAATTATATTATACGTGCATAACTTTTAACTATCAATACCTTATCAATTATTCTAATCGTATTCTTCAATATATACATGTTCAGTCTCATTGATTTTCATTAAAAATAAAAGTGGAGTTTAAATAAATATATTATTATTATAAAAGTAAAACTGACGATATGCAAGTCCATTGGTAGACAACTTTTTTTTTTTCATTATATCGATTCTGGTGATATTGACGTATATACTTATAAATGGCACACTAGTACCCACTTAAATAGATATAATGACTATATAAATGAAAGTTTTTCTTTGTGTATTTCATATAACATATTATTATGCTATAGATACTGTAGTTCTATGTGCATATAGGTAAAAACTAAATGAATACACTATATTGACATACAGCTACAAGATATGCAAATAGTTAAAGTGGTCATATGATATATGGTTAAAATGTTTAGCAATGTGACCAATACGTATACTGAATAGTGAAGTGGCAAACACTTAATATATTGAGTGAGATAAACACGATATAATAGAATGGATAAGAACTAAAATATACTATTAAAAAGCAAAGGTAATTTATAGATAAAAATAAATTGAGAAATTTAAATTTCGTAAGCGTAAAATATGTAGGTATAATATGAAGAAATATTTATAAAAACAATACTAATAATTTATACATGGAGTACGAGGATTCCTATCCTTAAAGTTTATTTATTAAATGAGAGAAATGCATATTTTTATTGTCATGCTTTATAGCAACTATGATGATGTGCGTCAACATTTACATATAAACGAGATACGCTGTTATACAATACTAAAGACGTTTCATTTTTAAACATAAACGTGTGCGCGCACTTATTATAAAATAGGATTTATCGCGGGTGGATTTAATATTTAAATGTGTATATAATAATGTCCATAATATTTTATTCTTATACCTGTTAAATATAAATCATCATGAATGTATCTGTCATTAAATTAGACTTATTTTTATTTTTCCAGGAAGTGCCTAATGACTAGTTTTTATCAGATTATGTTTCCCGGTACACGCACCGTTTGTGTTTTAAAAAGTCAGTGATTTTACTTTCGTTTGGTTGTTTGTGATTATAACCATATACTAGTTGTAACTAAGTTATTATAATAATATTATATGTAGGTACACGACTATAAACGCGTATAGACATCATACACAGACCGTGTCACCTGAAAGACGTTAACGCGGGTACTGCAATGAACCGTGAGGTAAACCAACTATATTGTATTATAATAAATAATAATAATAACATTATATGGTTGTTCGCTATGCAGACTTTCTTTGGTTGTCGTAAGGTTGTAAGACTTGAACAAGAGTGAGAGAAAATAACACTTGACCGTATATCGCGTTTTCGTTGCAGGGTGCACTTCGTTGGTCATCGTATTTTGAAAGACGCACAAAAAGCGAATGCCGAATACCTATAGGTACCATTATGCATATATTTATATCCATACAAATATATTATCATCGAATAATCGTGTGTTTATTTCTGAACACGAAATTTCGTAGATATTATAATTCAAAATATAATTTTCATTTACCATCAAACGCGTTAACCCCTTCAACACTTTCACTACAGTTATATTTGATATAATGACGTATTAATACGGCTGGAAAATGTATTCATCGTTTACGATACTATATAATATAATTATAATATAATTTATATTTATATTTATATAATTTATATATATATATATAATATGTATATATAATATTGCTCATAATTGCGAGTACTTTTGTTACAGGTAGTGTTTTTTAAATTTTATGTTATTCTTATACAAGTAAAAGCTTAATGGTGGAATCACGAGCCATTCATTTGACCGTTCACGTAATGGTTTATCATTTTGTCCGTTATATTATTCCGATCTCATAATACGTGTTAGTATATTAGGTATATACATAATATAAAAGTCGAAATATTCTACCTCCGTATGCGGTTTGGCTTTCTGCATTGTGTTTAATAATAATTTCAATTCAATTGAGAAAATAAGCATAACGAATAGTTTTGACGTAATTAAATTTGCACAAGAAAGTCCATTGATATAGATATAAATATATTATGTAGGTACATAGAATGTTACTAAGATAAAAAAAGTTAACATAATTCATAAATGCGTAACATTAAATGTCTACGTCGTGTAACTTACTTATAATAGCCTTACGTTTATGAAATCTGCTTGTGTTAAATCGTTATTCGCAAACATTGTCAATAATAACAATTGTAATTTAGATACCTGTTCAAACTTCAAATCATTACGAATCGACTTAAAATAATATACCTTACTAGTAATGCGTTAGATCTTAACATAATATTTAAATAAACGTATATTACGTTTTAATTTTATAAACATGTACGGACATCTTATTTTAGAATTGATTACTGTATTATAATAATAATTAATAATTAATCGTGATTAAACAAAATACATGGATTTTTAATTGTGGATTACAGCCAAAGAAATATAAAATGGGTTACTCAGTGAGAAATTAAGTATAAGTAGAACACGTTTTAGTCGCAGCTAAGTTAGAAAAGATGATTGTTACGTAAAAAAAAACGCGATGAATAAGGACATAATAAATAATGAAATACTTTAGTATTACACATTATTATTGTGATGTACTATGTACAAGCATATGAGAGATGACAACATTTTGCTAAACAAAGAATGCGTTTTCCCAAACCATCTCGAATATAATTTCCGTTTTTGGCATGAAAAAACACATTAATTATTCAACAAACTTTAATTTTTTCTTAGACTCAATATAAAAAATACAACACTATAATACATTGAATCTAGCATTATTTTTGGTTTTTTTAATTTTATAAGATAATATAAGTTTTCCCATAGAATTTAAATTTGGTTTTTATACATGTATAATTGGAAATAATTAATTGACAATAAGTAATACTTATCAACATATTTGTGTTCAATTTTTTAAATCATTTCGTTCTATCTTTAATTTTTAAATTTATTAATAAACATAACATTTTATTAGATAGTTGTAATTGTATAGTTTATATAAATAATTTTATCGAGGTTCTAACCAAATATTTGAGCTAATTTTTGATATGTTTTTAATAATTTAAATATTTTTTATATACACATATATCTATTAAGTTAAAATTATAGTAATCTCATATATTTATAAATAGTAACTTATTGTCTTTTTTATGTTTGTTACTTTAAAATAAAACATAAGATCTAATTTATTGTATGGTGAATAATTATAAAACTGAAGTATGTTAGCTTATCCATCGTCCATCAACAGATCTAAGTTGTAAATTAAAAAATTTGACTATTTTACTAATATTTCTTGTGGTCTTTGTTATAATAAATTTAATTCTCTGTTATTATTTTATGGTTTCATATTCTTTGGATCCAATTTTACGCATAATATACCCAACGAATTACAAAGTAACATAATCATTGTTCACATACGAAATTGGGCACGAATTATATTACATGAAATAAACGAAACAATATTTTATTGCCTAATAACGAAAATTTTGTTTATAGATTGTGGTCAGGAAATCTTTAATTTAATTTAAATAATAATTAAACCAATCAATTTTCATGAGTTATCGAATTAATACGATTGCTATTATATCTGCACGACGTGACTTCTTTCACAATAACATAACACATGGTATAACTAGGTAATAACATTTTTATTGTTTGGCAACTGAAATCAATCATACATTATTGAAACCTATTATATAGTAAGAAATAGTAACATATCATTATTAGAATAGCTGATAAAAGAACGAATAAAATAGTATAAATGATATAAACAAATACTAATAATTTTAATTTTAATTAGTTAACATTATTATGTCAGAATAGTCATCTATTGTAGAATTGCAATATTTGCAAAATACATTACCTACAGAGTTTCCTGTCAATTGTATCTATAACAAAAAGATTTATCAACCTATAGTAGTATTGTAGTATAGGAAAGTAAAACAACTATTTAACTTTCATTAAATGTAAGAAATGTTAATCATTTAATCAATTATCTATATTATTTTATAGCTTAAAATAATTTAATTGATGTAAATTACACATAATTTTTTTCTGATAAAATTCAAAGATCAATTTTAAAAATAAACAAATCTTACATAACACTTTCCTATTTCTTATAAATTTATATGGTATCTAAATATCAGGATCCACCAAACTTCCAAATTTACAAAAAATTCAATAGTCGCAATCAACAATATTTTGTTTAATGATTACATGTGTATTCTTCGTCTCTTACTTTACACTCATGTCAGCATGTAAATACAATTTCTTAAAAAGTATTAACTATCTATAAACTTTTTGATTTCACTTAACCAATCAGTCAAACTCCCTGAATAGAATAACTTGATATAAATAATATTTCCGAAAAATCCATTCAACACTTAATTCAGACTGATTGTTGTATTTAACAGTGATGTGTACTGTGTACATCACTCATTATAACATATTTTATTATAAGCGATATACCTACAAACAATATAATATACATAATAACTACAACCATATATAATTTTCCAAAGTTTTAAAAGTTGTTTTTGTAAAAATATGTAATAATTGTATCATAGTTAAAAGTTACTTTTAGAGTGTATTGAAGAAATGTTTAATATTTTTAATTTAACTTCTTTAAAATTAAATAAATGAAAATATAATACTTATAAAATTTGTAATTTTTAAGTTCAACTTTATTGTAAATAGTATTATGAATTTAAAAATTATATAGTTAAAACTGTCAACTAATTCTTCAAATTAAATAACTATTAATAATTTATAAATCAAACATTATGTACAGTTGATTTCAGTAAGGTCAGTACAGTTAGTATAGTCATCACTCGCTACTCATTACTCATTAGTAATACTTATTGTAAATTATACATAGGTGCTAGAGGAAAACTATTATTATTTTTACAACTGAAATAAAATAAAATAATTAAAATAAATTAGTTGAGATTTTACAAAAACAATATTTTTATATAAAAATTAATTTAAGACAAAATTTCAAATTTCAAAATAAATTGATTATATAATACTATAATATTATTAAGTGAGCACAATTTATGAAACAATAACCCTGGACAAATTTAATGTTGAAAATATTATAAAAAATTGTAAGCTTATATATTTAAAATGTACTTACCATCTTGTTTGTTTGTAGCAAAGACGGAAATACTGAAATACTGAATTAAAAAAAAAAAACTGCACCTGCAGATACCGGCCCAGTTATAGTTGTATGATTTGGGCCGACTGTACTGCAGCAAGTCTAAACCTACAAAGAGTACTGTACCGAATTCACCGTAAGTCTTTACTTTTTATATGTTTATAAACAGAATCAGTGGGGACCTATTACATATTATCGTATAGACACTTAGTTCATATATATAGATCTTTCGGGCATCATAGCGAAAGGTCTTCTCCCGGAGTCTGTCATCATCCAATGCCACTGCTACTGCAAAAATCCGAACACGACGACCGCGACCAAGCGATACCATATAGGTATATTCACGCGCTAGTTACAATGGCGAATTATCACTTTCGTTGAACCCTATTACGACCCCAATAATGATATTACTAATAATAAAATTATACAATTACTAAATAGCCACAAGTTATTTTTTTGTGTAATAATTGTGTCTGTCTGAAAAGTTTTTCTGATTTTTCCAATAGGATTTATGGCTATGCAATCACTTTTTTTTTAAGCTTACATACTAATTAGTTATTATCTACACTTTATTACATGATATATATTATAGTTCTAGAAATCTTAACATACACAACTTAGATATTACCTAATAAGTTATAGTATAATAAGTAATTAAAACAAATTTTATTTTTACTTGAAATAATCAATATACTTTAATTTAAGTTATGCAACCAATTGGTTTAATTAAATCAAAATATTTAAAAATAACATTACGTACATTCCATAAGATAGCAACTATAATATTTTTGGAATTCTAGTTTTAAATGAAGGATTATTTGTTGTGATATGAAATCATTTCAATTTAAAAATGAGAAATCAGTCTTAATTTTAGCATCTATACTTAAAATATTTGTTTGATATTTGCTGAAAAATATCTATAATTTATAATTAAAATTTAAAATCCCATTTCGATGAAACCATTATTAGTAATATTTTAGTTAAAAAATACATATCATCTGTAATTGATTTCAAATAATTATAAATGCTTTATTTTAATTTACTCGCTAATTTATAATTCATGTATTGTAATTATAATATAGCATAACACAATAATGATTAGTAATTACAAAAATATTTATTATACGATTCACTTTACATTAAACGAATGATATATGAACTATATAGGTTGCTTGCTAACATGAATATTAAAATAAAGATTGAAATAATTATAACTATATCAGTATATGGCTGTATAATTTTTCGAAAATTTGTTTTTTCTTTGCTTCATACTATTACCTACGCAAATTATTCATTAAAAAGAAAATAATTATTTTTTATATGTGTTATGATAGTCATAGCTCACAAAGTTAAAATTTAATGAAACAATAAAACGATTTTACACAGCTTATTAATAAAACAATATATTAATTATTAGATACATTCGAATAAAAATAAACTGCATATTATACTTGTTAATTATCAGTGTAACTGTGTAAGGAGTAAAGATACCTAGTTAATATTTTATTTATTTTTTTTATACAAATATTTGATTTTACGTTTCGGTGATCTTGCTGTATCTGTAATTTGTAATTCCATACTCAATTACAACTATACTTAAAAAAATAAATTGGTAAAATTACATTTTCCATCTCATTTAATACCACTATGTAATAATGTAATAATATATACTAATAGCATTTTCTATTATCATAATTATACAATATGATGAATCAAAATGTTATGATGCTAAGCAGGAAGTTCAAATAGAAGTAGAACAATGTGTATAATATACAATTATTTAATCGTAATGTTATTATTTCTAAATTGACAATCGTATACGTGAAAATGTATTGACAATACAATAAATTAAACATGCTACTTAAAAAAAAAAAAAAACAATAATACTTTTTAGGAAGTACCTTTTCAATATTAATTATAATATCAAGACACAGCTTTATATCATTAACGGTATAGCCATAAAGTTAAAATCATTTCATTGGTCAGAACAATTCTATATCACGGCACTAATGATACCTTGTAAATATATTATGAATAACGTATTAATGTCGGGAAGTTTGCCGTCCATCATTATTTAATATATTTTATCATTGACTTTCGGAAATCGTATATCTAGGTACTAAATATCAGTAAATTGCACATTGCTCTGTCTGAAAGAAGTTTAAAATGTAAAGGAATAAAATTATATGCGAATTAAAATATTTTATACAAGTTTCTGATTAATATATATATATATAGTCATAATAATAGTTAAGTTGGATTCGATATGACGTATAACATTTATATCTCAGTCTTACGATTTTATTACTGTATCAATTGTAACATATTTTAATCATATTTTTATGGGAGCTATCGTATAATAAAGGATCGTAAATCAGATTGAAAATAGCATTCATGTAACATGATGATGGTGACTGCGTGATCCTTGAATAGGCGTATTATCAATGCGAGTACGAAGGTATATGTATTTATGTACATGTGTGACTCTGCAGGGTGGCATTAAAAGCACATTGCGATTTCGCGCAATGCGTAGGGTTAGATAACAACACGAATAGTTTTTGTTATGGAAACATAATAATTGTAATTATTATATATGGTCTACATATATTTTTCGTAGTGTAATGTAACTATATGCATTGTTGTAATCACTACTGTTCACGAGTAAAAGTAAATCTCTAGACAATTCCATGCCGCAACTAAAGTCTCCGCTCCGGACGATCTACAAAAAATAATAATATATTAATGATGAAGTAAAAAATGGCTAATTGGCCAAAACTCCAGCATACATATGCTTTTTGTTTTAAAAAAATCAATTTTTTTATTATTCAGTTGTGTAACTTATACATATTATACACGTATAGGACAAAACTTTCCAGTCAAGTATAAATTAAAATTATATCAGCAGTTAAAATGCAAATTAGTAAGTATTCATTTAATAGCGTCTGCATATATTAGTAGGTATTTTAGTAGCCAATTTAAACTTAATGATTTTTAGATATCAATATAACAATACAGTTCCATTATAAAACTGTTTAGACAACGGCTTAATCGGTACTTATGGCGTAAAATAAGTTTATTCATCATTCGTAAAAAATCATTATAATATTATCAAAACCTGTTAAAACAACCATACCTATAGGTAGTCATAAAAGTTTATGAAATGAAATGCATTTAAAACGACAATATATTGTAATAAACAACACATACGTTTAATTTTTTCTTCAAACATCTTGCCTTTCCATCAGTGATAGATATGGATCTGAGATATAATACATAATTACAAACATTTATTCGTGTTACCGTAGTGGTAATACGCGCGACGGTGATACACGCAAAACGTTGATGTAGGCACGTAAAACGTTGGGAAATGCACATATTAGTATATTACATTATTATTTATTATATATACAGGATAGTTTACCAAGTGTTCCTATTCTCTGATAATGCGTTTATTTAAATTTTGATTTCGGGAATTTTTAAGTATATTTAAAGATTATATTTCAAATAGTTTAATTTTTTTAGTTAAAGAATTACTTTATGAAGTTATAAAAATATATTATTTTCAAATTAGAACAATTCTATTTAATTTTAAATGAACATAATATTAAGTTCTAAGTACTAAAGTCTAAGAATATAATAATTCTAATAATAATATGTATTGGGTTTGCATAATATTTAAATTATATATCATACTTAATATTTATGCAAGGTTTCATAAACAATCACTTAATAATTTAATATAATGAGCCAATAGGTGTGCTAATGATATTTTAAACATGATTTAATGGTATATTGAATTTTAATTGTTCTAATTTCGATTTAAGATCATCCACGTTTTTAAAAACATGATCAACTTAACAATTTACAGTTCAAAAGGGGAGTTTTCATTTAAAAATAAGTTTGTACTTCTACAGTATACTATTTAATAATTACTGAAATATTTGAAAATAAAGTATTTTAACAGAATTAAAAATCCGAAAATTATAATTATAATAAATGCACGATTTAAGGATAAAAACAGTGAACATGGTTCAATTGGTTCAATGGTTGGTGATTAGTGAATCATCGTGTATATAACGTCTAACGGTAGTAATACCTATTATATAAATGCTAGAATACATAGATGCATCGTGTATGTATATGTATTAGCAATAACATTTTTTTTTATTCAAATCAATGGACTACCGCGAAAGTAATTTCATATTTTTCTAATATCACGCGTTGCTGTCCGATAAAACAACCAACTATGTCGAAATTCAATATTTTCTCATACTTGTATACATTTCGTGATATTAATATTTATATACGTAATATATCAAATATAATACAAATTAACTATGTTTATTTATGTTTATTACATGTATATTGTATACGAAATGAGTAGTTAAAAAAAAATCCAAATGCATATTACCTATAATACGGCGAAGACGATCGCTGATGTGGCCTAAGGTGACGTACAATATGTCGCCTTAATTATATCATGTTTATTTTTCGAGTATGTGTAGATGCGTATTTTCTGCATCGCCGGTGGGTGTACCTACTTATATAGCTGGTTAACCTAGACCCGGTCAACCACGAATACTTACTAAACAGCGATGTAGGTTGGTCACCGCGACCAATCAGCCTAACACAACGCATTCGTAAAATAATATAAAAATTATATTATTCCTGATGTAGCCCACGCCGAGTGTTGTTTGTACTCAATATCGTTCAGACGAAAAGGACGATGAAGGATTTGTTATAATTCGATTTTATTTTATACATTTATTGCAGTATTCAGTTACCAATAATATGGTCCAACGTGTGGGATCTCCAAGGGCACCATAATGTATGCATAGTTTGTAGTTATGTATATTATTATTATCTTTAATACTTATAAGTAGGCCAAAATTCTAATTTAATATGTTTTGCGAAATTTTATCCGTCGTATTTTGCGTAGATTTTGCACAATATACATTGGCATTTAAATATATTATAATGAATATAAACAATTTTTGAAAACAATGTGGCTTAAATATTTGGAGAATAATTAGGTAAATATATCAATATAATTTTCAGTAAACATTATCATTCTTTGAATTGTAAAAAACAATTTTTAAAAATTGATTCAATAATAATTTAATACTTT